GTTCACAGGGGATTTTACAATAACAGTATTTTTCCATGGTATGTATTTGCTCTCCTGTGTAGATCCTACATGCACAGCTTCTGTCACTAAAGGAGAGAATAGCAGTGCAACAGGAGAGATGACACTTGCCCAAGAGCTCTGCAATTGTTCCATGTTTCTTGCTTGCTCTCTATATATTTTCCCTCCCTCTTTTGTTTTAATACAAGGTGATGAATGAAGCCATTGCTCTACAGCTTCATGGCATCAATGACAAGGTGATTTGCTGTTTGGAGAAAGCATCAAGTGAACTTCTCTGCCAGCTCCTTCCCAATACCCTGAGTGATTACTACATAGAACTCAAAGCTCAGCAGAGTCACTTGCATAGAAAGAGAAGAGGCAACATCATGGGGCAAGAAGAACGTAACCCCAATGCCACCCAGAATATTAACTTTGCTGCCATCTACAACCTCCACAGGAGTGACTTTGCCTCCTTTCGAAATTTGTCCTTCCCTTTCAATTTCAGCTACAGTGATTATGACCTGCCCATGGACGATGAGGATGACATGACCAAAACCCGCACCTTCTTTGCAGCCAAGATCGTGATTGGGGTAGCTCTCATTGGCATCATGTTGGTCTGTGGCATTGGCAACTTCATCTTCATCGCCGCACTAGCTCGCTACAAGAAGTTGCGTAACCTCACTAACCTCCTCATTGCCAACCTGGCGATCTCTGACTTCATCGTGGCCATCGTCTGCTGCCCCTTCGAGATGGATTACTATGTGGTAAGGCAACTGTCCTGGGAACATGGCCACGTGCTCTGTGCCTCCGTCAATTACCTGCGCACTGTCTCCCTTTATGTCTCTACTAATGCTCTTCTGGCTATAGCCGTAGACAGGTAAGCAGAAGAATGGGATGTTCTATCTGTATGGTGAGAGAAAACCAGGAATTTGCACACCAGTGCTTTCAAACCTGGTTGCCACCTAAATAAGTGACCCGATACACAAGAAAGAGACTTGTAATTTTCAGGTACTCTGTGTTATCAGGTTATTTAACCATTTTGTCCCACACTGTGCTAAGCATTGCTGCTGGCTGGGGATTTGCCAACAAAATATTTTTTGTCAGAAAATGCAAAATCATTGAAAACATCACTCTTCCCAGAAATGTGTCTGTTTTAGTAAAAACTTCTGCCGGATCCAAACGGAATTTCTAGGCTGAGAGAAGACAGAAAGAGAGTGAGAAGAAAAGAAAGACACCCCCCATCCTCCCAAATAGTCTACAGTCCAGTCATGAGGCTGTTCTAGGGACACAAGATGCTCAGGCTTATATCCCTATCTATTTGGAAAGTCTAAATCATTGAGCTATAGAGGCAGCTACTCTCTCAATCTCTCTTTTTGGAGCTGTATACTTTATATGAATAATTCAATATCCATTGAACCCAACTTCATAGCTTGGCGATTAGAATACTCACCTGGTGAAACCTTAACCATTGAGACTCAATCTGTGCAAAAAAATTCAAAGGGCCTAATTGCTGTTCCAATATTATGTGAAAACAAATGACAAAACCTCAATATAGATACCAAACATTCTCTAGACAGATCCTCTGAGCTCATGCAGCTAGCACCTAATGAACTACTTTTCAGTGAGCTCTCAGCTGGGTGTTTAAATACACCTTTTATGCCTTACGTATATACACCGAAGTTGGACCAAAACATTTGGTAACAATCTCCTCTCCTCACCTGTTCACATACTGCTGCAGTTTGCACTGTCATATAACAACAAGTTTCCCACATGATCTGTGATCTGAGGGTCTTGTGGGATTTGAGGTGAACAGGCCAGAGACCCCTGCATTTTCACAACATAATTAAAACATTATCAGTTTAAGCTCCATTTCCCTTGTGTCCTGAGATGACAGGCATCTCTTTATGCTCAGACATCACACTGTTTCCTTAGTCCACGGCACTGAGACCTTTGTATGAATTGATCTTCCTGAAGGCATTTTAAAAATAATCATTGGCTTTTATTCTTTCCTTCCACCTGTATACTAAAAAAGTATTGAGGTAAAGGTACCCAGCTTAACATGGCTATTACGTTTGATATTCTTGGCCCACTGAAAGTTGGAGAGAAAAGATTGTTTATAGGAAGAACTAAATGACTGGCCATCCCATACATCATAATGTCACATGACTTCCTTTGAGGACCTAGGACAATTATTAGCTATATTGTTCCTCTCCTTAATCTCACTTACATAGTGCTGGAGCCAGATTCTTCTTTCACACCAGTTTAACTACACTGACTTCAGTGTAGATATGGTTAAAGCAGTGCTGAGGCAGCCTTCAGTGAAATCAATGATAATCCTTCTAATAACTTCTGTAGATGCTAGAGCAATAATATAAGTGGAAGGAACACCAGCTTCTACAAGCCAAATCCTCAGCTGGTGTAAACCAGTATGGCTCCAATATCATTTCGGTACACTAGCTGAGGATCTGGCCCTGGATTTTTCTTTATTATCTTGTACATATTATTGTTTTTCTACTATTTATATTCAAACTATAACAAACTGTTTGGAAAGAGTTATTAAGTCATCTCCTCGAGCCATGAGCCACATGCGAGCATACTCTCAGACTGTAAAAGCAACGTTTGTCATCCAGTCCCTATAGCTACTGAAAGACTAGAGATTTGCATGGTACCTCCCAGGCTATCTCCTAAATAAAACAATACTGGAGAAGAATAAGGAAAGATGTTGTTATGAAAACCTTAAGGCATAGATTTTATATAGAACCATATCTGCATGAATTTAAAGAAAAATAGCTAAAAGCGCTGTTGTCTCCAAAGCAATTAACAAGTCCCTTCTGGTTATTCCCCTGGTTGAGATGATGCATATCCATATTTGTGTTGCTCCAAATTGTTAACAGAAAAAAAAAAGTCTCCAATCTTCTGCAGCAGACTTTGCTAGCTCCGTTCATCTGAGAACGCAGATAATTATATGATACACAAGCTGAAGATGCTTATACTAATATAACATGCTATTTGGGGAAAAAAAATCATATTTCAGGAAAACAGCTCTGCAATAAGATACAGGCAATACAAATTGTACCAGGCAGGGGGAAAACGTCCTAGGGTTGCCGTGCTCTCCCCTAGCGCTCCCTACCATGCCAAGTTTGCATTAACGCACCCTCGTTCTTGCCCGCCACATCTTGATCTGATGAAAGTTAAAGGGCGGTTGCCTCATCTTCCTGGTCACGGTTCCTACTACCCCGATCCTTGTTTATACAATGGGGCTCCGAACACCCCAGCCTTATGGGCTATGCGTGGCTCCAACCATCCCTGTACCATGCCCCAAGCCTCGCAGATGTACTGGACATTGTTTGGTCTATCTCACTCTCTGCGCCCTCTCCGCAGCCCTTGTTTTTCAGCGTGCCCTCTGGCGCTCGGGCACTCTGCAGCCCTTGTCTCTCAGCCGCACCCCACAGGCGCTCTGGCTTTCCATAGCCTTGTCTCGCAATCACGTCCCACAGGCGCTATGGCTTTCTGCAGCCCCCTTTCTGGGGCTTCTCGCTGCCCCCCCTCTGGGGCTTCTCTGGAGTCTCCACGTGGCCATGGCTCCCCTATAAGGCCTCCTCCATCCCCTTATAGCCTCACCCGGTCCTCCAGTAGTAAACTGTCAACACAAACTCAAGCCCTTTGGCTATAACGTAAACCTAAGCCATCTGGCCATAATCACCTTCAAGTCTGTCACAAGGTTTCTCCATTTCTCACCCAAACAACTGCATGTGCATTCTAGCCTCTTCCTTTTTCTCACTCTGGCAGAGTTCCTAGCCCTATGGCTGCTGGCAGGCAACTGCCTGCCTGGCTTCAGCCTGGGAGTTATATGGGAGCCAGGCCCTGCCCCTTCCAGTCAGCAGACTCCCACCGGTTACCCTGGCAACCCACAGCTGGGATCCTTACTTACTGCTCCACAAGTAGCAGGCACCTCAGTGCCCTGCTACACACCTCCCCCCTTAAGATCCAGACTCACCGGACCAAGTCTTCATTGTCCTCTGCCACACGTGTTTTTCCTTCCTTCTTTCCAATCCTTGCTCTTGTTCTTCTACCATTTAGCTTTTCAGCAGCAGAGGTTTGAAGGTGCCTCCTACTCACCTTTTAGCCAAGGTGCACCGTGTGGGATTTTATGGGAGCTGCCCTGCCATGAGCAGTCCCCCCCCACACTAGCCGACCTTGGTAAATCACGCCCTCCGTTGATCCAGCTCCAGCCTACCTTCTGGGGTTCTCTCTCCCTCTCACTTCTGGCCATTCTATGCTCCATCCCCGTGCACCCTGGCCTCTTTCTCACGGCAAATTGTGGGCTCTTTTGTCTCCTTACGACTTTCTGGAGGTCTTGAAGACTTCCCCAGATCTCCCACTGTCTCTCCAGTGCTTTCTGGGCATCTTCTCTCCTGCAGAACTCTACCTTCCCCTGTCCAGTAGATTCTCCTCCGGGTCTCTTATAGCTCTTTACATAAGCTACCCATCCAACTCGCTCTTCAACGAGTTTCCTCAACATCTACCACTTAACAAGCCTAGGGATATTTCTCATGTAAATTTGCAGCCTCTTTTCAGGCTTCAGTTCCCCCTTTGGGTTTTGTTCCCTCCTCCTCATCTCTTGCCCTTTTCCCCAATTTTCTTTCCTGGGCTCCACCAATCCCCCTTTTGCAGGGCCTATCTTTAATCCCTCCTACACCAGGCCCCAGGCCACCTGGGTACAATCCTGGCACATTAAACAGGAGATCTCACTCCTTGGGGTCATCTGTTCACCCTTCCCTGCCGTCCCCACATCTACCCAATCCACTCTCCCTGGCTGTTCCTAACCGAGTCCTGTAATTCTTCCCTCAGCCTGGGGTCTAAATAGTTCTCCCAGCTGGCTTCTTAGCCAGCTCAATTCCATCGCCTGGTGCTTCTGCCATTGGTCCCATCTTTGTTTCCAATGCTCTAAGATGACCGGCAGGGCCTGCTTTTGTAGGGTCACAGAATTCTCCCCTACAGATTTTTCCTCCAACTGTCCTGTTTCAGCCTCCTGGGAGTTATATGGGAGCCAGGCCCTGCCCCTTCCGGTCAGCTGACTCTCACCGGTTACCCTGGCAACCCGCAGCTGGGCTCCTGACTTACTGCTCCACAACTAGCAGGCACCTCAGTGCCCTGCTACACAAATATTAATATCATTCATGCTCTCTTGTTTCTTGGAAAGTCTCACGGATTTGACAATACAGAATGTTGACTTTTGTGGCTAATTTGGAGTTCATTACATCATCTATGGAATAACAGATGGGAAGAATACAAAGAATGGTATATTGATACCTTAAAACCAACTCAACTGGCCATAGACAGAACTCTCTAATGGAGCTTCTGTATCTCTTCCTATCAAGTAGTAATACAAAACCAGTGCAGAAGACAGGACTGGAAAAAAGGAAGCATTATATTCTTATAACTTTGTAAACCCTAACTGCCGTTATGGCCCATGGGGGCCAAAATCAGTTAGGCAAGTTAAAGCAACCTGGAGGCTGCTCTGGTTCAGTCTGGTTCCAAGAGGATGAGGACAGGAAAGTAGATTTAAACTTTTCCTTATTTATTTTCTTCAGCTCTTCCAGGTATTCTTCAGCTACATCTGAAAAGCTAGACTTGCGTTTGTCTTTTTTATTGTTTGTTTGTTTGCTTGTTGAACTGTGAACTTCTCACTTATACTGAGAGTTGCTACTCTTTTGACTAAGACAGAGGCATTTGTAAATTTTGCTGCATTGCTATATCATTCCATAATGTATCTGGCCTGAAACATCTTGATAAGGAGCCAACTAAAGTTCTCTTTCAGAATATGAGGGATCATATACCATATCTACTTAGATACCACATGCATCTTTTCCCCCAAAAACAGCCTTCCAAATTGGGGTGCAAGTCTAAAGTGAGGAAGTTAATTTCTAGGCTGAAATTGAAGCATTGAGATGTTGTAACATTGCCATAGGCTGTGCTTCTCTCCCAGCCCGAGAGAGAGGGGCAGAGTGTAAACTTCAGGATCCCAGTTAGTTTTAGCCCCATCACAGCTGCTACTAAATTGACAGTAGCTTTTAGCTGAGCTGCCAAAAGCTGCTACCAATTCAGCAGTGGCTTTGATAGGGTTAAAATTGTTGTTCTGAAGTTGTAGCTAGAAATTAAGTGACTTATGCTGAGCTTGTGTTGTTAAGAGAAAAAAAGGATATTCCCAGAACTTTCATTCTGCCTTCCTCAAACATACAGAGGGATGTGGCACGCAAGAAAACATGTTACATGCAAGCAGAAACCCCTTTAATAAATAAAAAAATGTACAACTCTATACATAGTTTTGGAAGATATATGTATTTTACATCGATATATTTAGCCTGAAAACCTAATATTCTTGTGTAAGATCATACTTTCAATTAGGCATATTTTTTCATCAAGGGCTGCATAAAAACCAATCACATAATATGGCCTCTTGTGCATATTTAACTTGATTGAATCAATAGTAATCTATCAATTTTGCATAGAAAGTACTAAGGTTTCTCCTTATGTTTTTGTTAAATGTTGGTGTAGTAGATGGTAGCAGTACATTGATTACAGTTTTCTAGTCACTCTTAATGAGTGCCAGCAGCTGTCATCAGGGCAAGTAGTGTGGCAGAGAAATGGGTGGAAAACATTTAAGATAACAGTTACTAGCAGTCTCGCTACCTGCAGAACAACAATGCATGTTAAGATGACTTGCCAGATGCTGGCTATGCAGCCGTTTCTCAATAACATGAAAACATCCTCAGTCTTTAAAATATTTGGAACTATTCAGAATGAATTAGCCTTACCATGAACACGGCAACACTCCTTCCAGTGAAGAAGGCAGCACACATAGACCAATCTCACCTTCCTGAGGGTACCCTTGGTGAGCACGATATATTTATCACATAGATGTAGCCTTAAACTAAGTATGCAACTGGATAGTCAGAACTAAAATGCACATTCAAGTGCTCCAGTATGGATCTTAGATTATTCATCCGGCTTTAAGAGCCAACCTCCAAACCAGGGGCAGGCAACCTTTTCCAGCTGCAGGCCAGAATGACCCATTCTGGGTCAGAGGCAGGTAGATAGGTGCTAAGATGAGGCTGTCACTTACCCCTGTGGTGGCACAGGAAAAGCACCCACAGCTGGTGCTTGTCCTCATAGCAGCACGGGGAGAGTGTCTGCAGCCAAAGCCACCTCCCACCAAATGCCACCAAAACTCTACAGCCACAGGCCAGATCTGATGATTATATGGACTAGATCTGGCACACATAGGTGCAGACCCTCTGCTTTAGACAATTATTTCTGACTGTTTTTTTTAATCTCTTTATCATCGCTTTTTCTGAAATAACCACATTTCTATCAAGCTCTCCTTTTGGAAACAATGACATTTTCTGTTCCCTGTTCAGTCAGCCAGTCAGCCTGCTTGTAACCAGGAATGTGTTTTGATTACTAAGGCTCCCTGACTTCCTTTTGAATGCACTTCTTTATCTTTTGTAGGTATCTGGCTATCGTCCACCCACTGAAACCACGTATGAATTACCAAACAGCAACCTTTCTCATAGCCTTGGTTTGGATCATCTCCATACTCGTTGCTATACCATCTGCATATTTTGCTACTGAAATTGTGTTATTCACAGTAAAAAATCAGAAGAAATTTTTTTGCGGCCAAATTTGGCCAGTTGACCAACAAATGTATTATAAATCCTACTTCCTTTTTATCTTCGGTATTGAATTTGTTGGACCTGTGATTACGATGACCCTGTGTTATGCCAGAATCTCCCGAGAGCTTTGGTTTAAGACTGTACCAGGCTTTCAAACCGAACAGATCAGGAAGAGGCTTCGCTGCAGAAGAAAAACTGTCATGGTGCTCATGTGCATCCTAACAGCCTATGTCCTCTGCTGGGCTCCTTTCTATGGATTCACAATTGTCCGTGACTTTTTCCCCACGATCTTTGTGAAACAGAAGCATTATCTTACAGCCTTTTACATAGTTGAGTGCATTGCCATGAGCAACAGTATGATTAACACCATGTGTTTTGTAACTGTCAAAAACAACACCATGAAGTATTTCAAGAAGATCATGTTACTCAGGTGGAGGTCCACCTATAAAGGGAGCAAATCCAGTGTAGATCTAGACAGCAAAACCAATGCAACACCAGTCACAGAAGAGGTTGACTGCATAAGACTAAAGTAATTGAAGTTTGGTTGTCGTGACACGTGCATCCCTGGGGGAGGGAGGTGGGGAGGTGAATTAGTATTTTACCTCAAAAAGCATCTCTCCCAGTTTTTGTGGTGATACCTACCACTGGAGAGAGCTCTAGATGAGGATTCAATAGATCACAGATCTCTTTCCAACTATGCTGTTGAACAGATGTATGACCATGCGCTGATCATATTGACTCTCCCTCACTTTTCTCTTCTGCAAAACAGGGATAATGATACTGATTTTCCTTTGTTAAAGCCCTTTAAGATTTAGGGATCAAAAGCTCCATGGAAAAGCTAAGTGGTGTTATCTGGATGCAAAATTCTATCTTAGAAATGACATCAACAATTCTCCCCTTTTCTCCTTGCCTTAGGGAATGACCTTTTTTCCCCCTCTCAAGCAAGACCTTTGACTTGAAAAGTCTTATTCTTCTCCCATTTCCTTTTTGCAACCAAACATACTACTTTGGTGACAAGAAACTCTATGCTGCTGTATAGCACTTTCTTACACGCCCAAGTCCTAGAAACCAAGAGACATTTCAGCATGTCATTGTCTCCATAGAATGCTACCCTGTTCCCTGGCCAGTTTTCTATACAGATACGAATACTGCTTCTTAGTCTAGAAAAGACCCCTGATCCTTTAGCGTGATCACCTATACAGAACTCTGGCTCCATCCTTCTGGAATTGTATGGGAAATATTGACAGTAATTTATTATTATGTACCTGAAAAGAGAATGTACATAAGGCCCAGGTATCACCTAAGGGCCAGGCATCATATAAAGTCCATGTGTACCCCCACAAAAATATTCAAGTGGGATAAATAATGTGGAGACCTTATGGTAGTCCTTTGTGTAGGGAGGGAATTTTAGCTCTATAGTGGGCATGACAGACTGAACAGGCTTTCAGTAGTCATTGATTTGCTGTTTGATTGTCACTTCTTACCCATTTAAACCTAGACCAGCTGTACAACACATCTCAGTGAATATTGCGTGAATCTCCATTAATTTCATCTTGCTTATTCTGATTATGTGCCCCCCTGGGATTGGTGTGTCTTTCAACTGATAACTGTGTTTTAAACAGGTGGTAATGTCAGTAAAGTCTGCTCATTTAAGTCCACAATTATGAAATTTGATGAATGTTCATGTCCTAAAATTAAGGCTTTTCTACTGTGCTACCAAACGCTTCTCGTTTTTAAATGTGTGATACTGCCTGCTTTTGAAGTAAATTAATTTTGTAAATGATTTGTTTCTTTGTAAATTTAAATTGAGCAGAAATCCCTCTTAATTAATAAAATGATAAGTGTGGGAACCTAAAAACAGCATTCAAAATTATTTTCAAGGATTTCGTTTTTCATAGTTTCATAGTTGGTAGGGTCAGAAGGGACCCGAGCAGATCATCAAGTCTGACCCCCTGCCATGGCAGGAAAGAATACTGGGGTCAAATGACCCCAGCAAGGTGATTGTCTAGCCTTGTCTTAAAGACCCCCAAGGTAGGAGCCAGCACCACTTCGCTTGGAAGTTGGTTCCAGATCCTAGCCGCCCTGACAGTGAAGTAGCGCCTCCTGATGTCTAGTCTGAATCTACCCTCTGCCAGCTTGTGACCGTTATTTCTAGTCACTCCTGGTAGTGCTGGGGGGAACAGGGACTCCCCCAGTGCCTGCTGGTCCCCTCTGACTAGTTTGTAACAGGCCACTAGATCCCCCCTCAGCCTTCTCTT